TCTGCAGAAAATCATTTTCCAACAAGTTGGAAATCATTTCAGTCTATGGGGTGAATTCACTATGAGATAAATACTGTATTAATTTTTGAGTTAAAATAATTCATGCAGTATTATCTCCAAACTAGTGAATTCACTAAATAACGTGTTATTTACTGAATGAGTTAAATATTTGTTTTGCAACATTTATCATTTAATTTAGTGTTATTTTTTTTTTTTTTTTGCAATTTTTCTCTTACATGCTAACACTGCACCAGAGGAAGAAATAAATGCCCACTGAAACATTATGAAATTATGAAAATATTCTAGTGTGCTTTCATTCACAGAACGATCTCTCTCTGATGAAATGTTACAATTTATTTTCATTCTTTTGCTCAGGGCAGAATATTTCCACACTGATACATTGTACATGTATCATTTACTGGCCAGTGCAGATTTCCCCTCATTGTTATTTTATTGCTAAAACACCGACTGCCTATTGGTAGGTGACAAATAATGAACGTGTGTTCTTTAGTGAATTGACTTTAATGATTTATATCTAATTTTTGTAATATATACCTCACATTTTTAACACAATTTGTGGTATTTACCTTACATTCGATGTATTATTTTAAATGAGTTGACTCTTTTATTTTCCAATGTACTATTTCTGAAAAATGGGTCACTTGACCTTAATATCGCATGCAAAATCCCCATTATGATAATGATTTGAAAATTCAGTAAAATAACTAATGCGGTAATGAATTTTCAAACATGCAATTCACTAAGAAATTGTCATTAAATAACTTATGCGGTAAAGAGTCCTTAATGCAATAATTAGCGGATATTAGTCGTCAGTATTTTATCACATGTCCTTCTGTACAACATACAGAATAAAGGAGACAGTGTGCAATCTATTGCACCTATTACATTGGGGATATATGACATGGTATAAAATACACTTTTGATTTGATCCCACTCTTGACGTGATAATGGAATATATATATGTAGGTAGCCGCTATGGTACGGAATTTCTTCCCAGTACGCATGAGAAAGAAGCCTGCTACATTCCTACCACGTCCCCAGCAACCATTTGAAAGGAGGCCTTGCTCAGGAAATGGAGCACCGATAACAATTTTGTCATGCCAGGTATTGCATGACTCCCCTGGGTGGTGGTATCCAACACAAAATGCAATCTGATGTAAAGGGCGAGAATGAGATCCTTCATCAGATGAAACCTTTTCAGAGCTTCAGCCTGTCCTGTGCTCAGGTAAATGGCTGGGTTCCATGATAATAATTCTTCCCCTCTTTCTAATCCTCCTCAGGGTAAAACTGCAGCAGATTGCACTCACATACCTCCATGGCTGAGCTGTACACTCTCTAAACAGAGGATAAGGAATTACCACCTGTGATAATGACAACAAAACCCTGGTGATAATTATTGTACCTTTTTTATTTTCCTTTTCCATTCATGAATTGACTTTAACAGATTAGTGCATGGTTGTTTGCAATATTTACCGACATATTTATACATTTTCATATAACACTGCATAATCATTATTTTTTGTAAATTGAACAATGTCTTACAGCATGTGATATTTTATGCAAATGAGTTACTGTACATGACCTATTATCGCATGCAGTAACCTTTAGTGAGTTGACCCCCATATTTCTTATTTTTTTTTACTGAGAAATAGTCTTTGAATTCAAGTGAAATAAATATATGAAGTGCCGTGCTCAAAATTATTTCTGATTTATATTAAAGTGAATTTCTATATGTATCCATTATTTAGTGCAAAAGCAAAGTCTGTGTATCTTTAAAAAGTCCCGGCAATAAACAGGTTACACATTCTAGTGTCTCTTTCTGGTGTCTCTTCATTGTGCTTCTTGCTGAAAAAGGTGGACTACAATATAGAAACATAGAAAAGTGAAGGCAGAAAAGAGACCAAGTGGTCTACCGAATCTGCCCGTCGTGCTCCTAACATTGCTCACACCTATAAGCAAATACACTCACTAGATGCAGTTGACCCCCTAAATTAATAAGTGGGTGTACAACAACCTTTTATAAGATATCTCCCCTCCACAGTACCTTTTATCTCCTCCACTCCATCATTCTGTTGCAGCACTGTTAATTATTATGCCTCTGACACAATGCAGCACATACCAGACAAAAAGCCAAAAACCATAGTGCCATATGCTTTATTAAATTAAAACCAATACCAAGTGAAAATGCACACTTACATTTAATATAATGTATATAAGCCAACATAGAACTCTTTTGCCTTAGGGGAATTCAAGATGGCCACTGCTAGTGCCTTACTTACGGTACTTCTTGTATACGCTTCACAGACTGGAATTCCTGGAGGATCCCTATGCATTCTTCTAATTACCCTTTCCAGCAAATGTTGCAATAAAATAGGGGTTTTTATTTCACAAATATTTCAACATATGTTTAAGGTGGCCAACTAAGTCAAATCAATCCTTCTATGGCCAGTCCTACACTGCTCTGCCAATGCAAATGCTACTGTGGAAACAATGCCAACCTGGTGCAAGCAGACACAAAGTGGGAGAGAGCTACTAAGTTTAGAGCTGGCTACTGACCTACCATGCAACAGGAAAAAAATATACTGTACCTGTCCTCAAATCCCAATAGCTTGTACATGCATTTATCTGTCAGGTGCTAAAGGGGTGTAGTCACATATTAACACTAGAAATCCCACTTATTTATCTAAGGGGTCAATACTTCTTGTGAGTGTAATTGCTTTTGGGTGTGAGCACTGTTGGGAGCAAAGAGGTGTATTGTTGTCCATCTTTCCCATATGAAAGAAAAATATATTTGAAATATATTTAAAAAATATTCTCCCCAAATATATTGCCATATACAGTATTTGAAATGATACAATTTTGCAATTTTGGCCACATTCAATATATTTCAATATATATATATATATATATATATATATATATATATATATATATATACTGCATGTTGAAATGTGTTTTTATTACAAAATATATGAAATATATTTTTTAAAATACATTTCAAATATACTGTATGTCTTTAAAAATACAAATCTACATTTTTGGAATTTATTTACAAATATATGTAAAAATATATGTTCAAATGACTTTTTTTACATGTTAAAAAAAACTGAAGATTATATTTTAAAAAAAAATATATTTAATATATAATACATTCCAAAAATGTAGATTTTTATTTTTAAAGACATAGTATATTTGAAATGTATTTTTAAAAAATATTTTTCATATATTTTGTAATACAAACACATTTCAACATGCAGTGTGTATATATATATATATATATATATATATATATATTTTGAAATATAGTTTGAAATATATTGAATATGGCCAAAATTGTAGCATTTCAAATATATGACAAAATATTTGGAAAGAATATATTTAAAATATATTTAAAATATGTTTTTCTTCCATGTGGGTTAGGCCTCATGCACACAGGTCATTAAAAAACTCCCCTAGAAGCTGTCCTCTAGCAGCAGCGTTTTTTCAAGAAAAATGCCTGATGCTTGTAAAAGTATCTTTTATAAGCATTTAGGTGCATTTACAAGTGTCAATACTTGGGCGTTAATTCATTTCATTGGCCAGAATGATCATTTATTCTGGCCATTGCAATGAATTACCGCTCAAGCGCTAAACGTGACTAGTGTTTAGATGCGTTTAGACTCATTTAGGTGCATCAAGTGTTTTTTCTGCCAAAACGCTGCTGCTCCTGGACACACTGGCCCTGGGTTTTTTTTTCCTGCTGGTAAAAGCTACTGCTACTAAAAGCTTCTAAAAGTCTATATGTGCATGGCCACTTAGGATAACATAGAGGGCCATTTAGAAGCAGTAAAAAAAAATGCCTAACATCCATAAAAGCGACTGCAAAACTGCCGTGTGCATGAGGCCTTAGTACTCATGCACACTGGACATTTTTACACCTGCTGTTTTTGGCTTTTGGCGTTTTTTTTCTACAACCAGTAAACTCCTCAGCATGTTATCCTATGTGTCCATGCACACATTAAATCTTTTTAATCGGTGTTTCTCAGCAGGGGCGTTTTTTGACTGGAAAAAAACCCAGAACTAGTGGGTTTCTAGAGGAGTTTTTTGGCTGTAAAAACACTCGAATGATGAAAAACATGGCAAAAATGAGGCAAAACATGGCAAACTGGCGTTATTGGCCACTTTGGGGATTTTTTTTTTTAGCAAAAATGTCATTTATTTTTGTGTACAAAAATGCTAAAAAACACCAAAAAAACCGCAAACGCAGAAAAACGCGGCTAAATGCAAATGCAAAAATGCTGAAAAAGACTTTACACAGCTAACACTACCAGCATTATTAAAACTCCCAGTATGCATGGAGCCTTATGAGCAAGAAGCATGGTGAAGGAACACAGGGATACTAGAATTTGTAAATTGTTTATTGCTGGGACTTGCTGGGACTCTTTAACCCCTTCGCGCTGGCGCCTCCCGGGCCTTTAAGGGTTTCAGAAGCTGGGAGGCGGGGTTTAGGGTCATGTGACCGCTGTGACATGCCGTCACGGCGGTCACATGATCGGGAAAGGTCCCGATCGAAAGAGGAGATCGGGACCTTTCTGTGAGTACCGGACATGTGTGCTGGGAGTGCGCAGGGCGTGCGCTCTCAGCACATATGTCTTTTTTTAATAGAACGCAAATGTGTGGCCGCTCGGCGTCCAGGCCCAGATGCCAGGATGCTGCACATTTGCGTTCGGCCGGCGTGAAGAGGTTAAAGATAGGAATAATTTAATTTGTGATCATTTTCACACTGTTTTTGGTTAATATATTAGAGTGCGGCACTTGATATATTTATTTCATTAATACATACAGTATGATTACTGGTTATCCTTATGAAAAGGTTAAGTAAGTGTGGTGCCTAGCAGTGGTTTTGTTGGTCTAATTAAAAAATAACAGTATGGAGTTTTACTTTTCCAGGAGTGCAGTGTTGCAGCAATTGTCTTCTCTATGAACTTAGACTGTTAGAACCAGGGGCGGACTGACCATTTGAAAACTCGGGCACTGCCCAAGGGCCTGGGGTCAGTAGGGGGCCCCATGAGATGCCCCTGGTACCTTTTTCATAGGCTTTTTTGAGTTTGGGCAAGGACACAGGGGCCCCATGATCCCCCTATTGCCCGGGGGCCCCATGAGTTGTCAGTCCACCCCTGGTTAGAACCATCAATCCTTTGGATGGATGTTGTAATTTTATCGAATCTTCTTAAAAATTAGACTACGTATAGACAAAAGTAAGGCTGTTCATTACAAGGAATGCAACCAATTCCAAGCATTGGATGTGATTATTGCTGTATTGTTAAACTATTAGGGAGTTATAACAAGCACCTGTAGTGGTCAGAAGTTCTTTTTGCTGGGCAGAGACATTTTTAAACTTATTTTAAAATCTCCCTGAGATTGGGCCAGATTTGTTCCTCAGCTATGATGTACAGAAAAGGATCCAACTGTCATGTACTGTCAACATAGGATGAGTATCAAGATGGGTGCCAATGCCGGGGTAATTCCCTTGATAACTAGTTTGTGCTGTGTTAGTAAAAATAAAATGGCTTTTCACATGGTGGCACACTTTGTCCCGTTACCAATTATCTTGCTAAGCAAATAACCACCATCTCACACCTGTCTAGTCTGTTGGCAAAAACAAAAACAGCCCATCTTGCATAATCATAGTAGACAGCATAACATAGAGATATCCCTGTCTCAGTGAACAATATTTTATGAATTTAACAGTATGCACATACTCTGCTAAATTTAATGCAGGATGCAAGGAGATAGTTTGTCACAGTGCATTACCTTTTTGAAGAATACAATGACAAGGATGAAACTTCCATGTACGAGAAGGTTACAGGCAAGCTGAGTTATCACATTTTATTTTTTCAAGCATCACTTTTAAATAACAGACCATGAATGTATTTCTGACATATTAGGGGTATTAGTGACGTGCTTTACTACTCAGGAATTTAAAAGCCGCAAATAGTGTGGTCTCATGCTGAGATATGTTGTCTCATTGGAATTCTGGGTTGTATATTTTGTTTTTGTATACTCGAGCTGTCTAGCTATTTTTAAGGACTTGGTCACAAACACGGATAAAAGATTACAAAAATGATATCTTTAGGCCTCATCCACACAGGCTTGTTAAGCCTTTTCAGTGTAATTGCAATTGTATTTCCTCTTCCCAGACAGCCCAAGTGCAGTGTACAGCCTCTCATTGACAGGAATGGTTGTACTTGTATATAAGTGTTGGGCTAGATATTCGAGTCACACGTACGTTCAAATTGAACATTGGCCATTCGTGTGTTCGGCGAACACACAAACGGTAAGGCCGTTCGGCAAGCTGTTCCCCCACTGCACCACACAATGCACTGTGCCCTGGCAGTGCATTGTGATTGGCCAAAGCAATGCACCTGACCACAGGTCAGGTGCAATGCTTTGGCCAATCACAGTGCATGATGACATTACAAGGGGCCGTGGATGACCCTACCCCTTGTGACATCATCACTGTATTTAAGAACTGTCGTCCCGGAGCAGCTGTCAAGAGCACAGCTGTCAAACGGTAAGGCCGTTCGGCAAGCTGTTCCCCCACTGCACCACACAATGCACTGCGCCCTGGCAGTGCATTGTGATTGGCCAAAGCAATGCACCTGACCACAGGTCAGGTGCAATGCTTTGGCCAATCACAGTGCATGATGACATCACAAGGGGCCGTGGATGACCCTGCCCCTTGTGACATCATCACTGTATTTAAGAACTGTCGTCCCGGCGCAGCTGTCAGGAGCAGGAGCCGGCGTCAAGAACGGAACATTGTTTTTATTTTTTTTATTTTTTTGGGTTGGCAGTGGTGGTGGGCATTGTGATTGACATTGCATCTACTTTGGTGGATATTTTTTTATTTTTGTTTTTAATAAAGGACCTGCAAAAGACTGTCTACTGTAATTTTTTACACTACACTTTTTTTTTGTGAATGAGTAGCGGTACCATGTATCCCATACTCATTCACATGGGGGGGGCTGGGATCTGGGGGCCTCCTTGTTAAAGGGGGCTTCCAGATTCTGATAAGCCCCCTGCCTGCAGACCCCCACAACCACCGGCCACGATTGTGGGGAAGAGGTCCTTGTCCCTATCAACATGGGGACAAGGTGCTTTGTGGGGGGGGGAGCTACCCCCATGTTGAGGGCATGTGGTCTGGTATAATTCGGGGGGGGGTGCTTATTCATCTCCCCCTTTCCTGACCTGGGCTGCATGCTCGGATAACGGTCTGGTATGTTATTATGGGGGTTCCCCTCAAAATCCATACCAGACCCGAAGGGCTTGGTATGGATGGAGGGGGGGACCCCACCCATTTAAAAAAAAAAGTTTTAATTGCTGAGCAGTGTTGGCAATTCCTTTTACATTCAGCTGCCAGTGGGGAACCTCGCTGACAGCTGAAACTTTAAAAATTGTTTTTAGTAGCTGTGCGGTATCTTACTGCATACTCAGATGCAGTAAGATACCACTTAGTGAATTATCCCCTATGTTCAAAGTTCACGGTTGAACTTTCGTTAGGTTTGAATACTTTGACCGTGAATCGAACAGGGGGCCCATCACTATTATATATATGGCAGTGCTATTGTAAACATGACTACAGCCTACAGGCATATTTCAAAAATAGAAAACTTTGGTTAAATTATTAAAAATGCATCATTGTAAGCACTCCTGTTGTGTTGAATGGTTTGTCTCAAGTAAAAATAGTATCTAAGAATTGGTTAGCTGCAGAGCAATTAATTTATGTTTTGGATTTAAAAGAGAAGTATGGCCAAAGCTTTTTTGGGAGTCACAGGAGTGCACTTACTGTGATCCAAGATTGGCCCACAATTTGGCTCGCTGTCAGCTGATAGACAGATCCAGAATATATTGTCAGGATCCACCCAGCTGCCTGACTGACAACTAGCTTTGGCTTTCAGTACATGGCTGAGAGCCAAAGCCAGGTGTGCTCGAACCTCTCCAGCCGGTGCTCAGTGGACTCTGGAGGGGAAAAGCGGTCACCGCTCTCAGCTCCAAGAAGACAGAACTAAGCATTCAGCAGTCATGTGATTGCTCAGTTCTTGAGCTTAGAGCTTGGGGGGGTGGGTGTCAGGGGCTGCTGTATCAATAGACTGATGGTGCAGCATAGAGGTGAGTATGTAAATTTACTTTTAACAACCCCATACATATGCATTAATATTGTTTTAAGTTACCCCTAAAATTATTAAAGAATATATGTGTTTGTTAAGGTATGTTTTTGTCACAAACAATTGCCTCTCGTGTTTCAGTATGTGTATTGAATACATACAGTATACCTGGTGATCATGTCAGTTGCTCTGATTTACTTTTCCAAAGTGAGTACGCAAAAGCACACAGAAGCAGATCCATGCTGGTGTGGTAAGTTTGCATCTAATGCTTTCCCTGAAGGAGATACAGGCATGCCATCTATGGCATGGCATGCCTGTGTCTCGATCAACATATTTAAAAACATGTCCCCCGCCCAGTGTCATTGCTGCAAGAAGGCTGTGAAAATGGGAACCATAAGCCTTATGGGGATGCAACCGATAGCGGAATAGATAGCAGAAGATGATGTACACAGACAGGGGAAAGTAATTCCCCAGCTGTGTGATGTCACTCACAGCGTGGAGCGTTTGCGCTCGCTCGATCTGAGGATACAACATGCAGAAGGTTTTGTGGTCATGTGAGTGCTCGATTGCAAAAAAAAAAAAAAAAAGTTACTAAATTTATATTTTGGGAATAGTTTATACAGTTATAGGACTAACATAATTTGATTTACAACACGGTTCTTTTTCACCAGAAAATTTCTCAGTAAAAAGCTCTATGGCACTTTTGGACAATTCATGCTTTTAGTGTGAAGTCCTTCTTGCTCTTGAACAAGCAAAGCAGGAGGTATCCCTTGCTTCTCCCCTTCAGGTTTGTTTACGCCTCTGAAAAGTGATTTGCAGTGTATCAATTACTTTTCAGAGAACAGCACAGAAGTGGCTGTTAGGTATCAGTAAGTGATGCTTCTGTCTCCCGGATGGCTATTTTGACAGCTGAATGGGGTTTTTGAGGAGCATACTGTGCTTCAACTGCAAGCCTAGTGCTTAGTGCACAGTTGCGGCACTGCCCCATGCACTTGAATAGGTCATGTTTGGTGGCGGTACTACTGAAAGCAACAAAGAGAAAAATTTTGCTACACTGTAAAGCATTGCGGTTGTGACATGCGTACAGACCTCTTTTCTCATCAATGCACCCAAGCTTTAAACTGCCTGTTTAATATGATTGTAGCTTTTGCACTCCTTAATTTAGGCCACTTCTGACCTTAACTGCTTGCCGTCCAGCCACTGTAGAAAAACAGCCACAAGGTGGCACCACTGGGCAAAAACAAGTGTGATAAAACACTAAGGGATCATTTAGTACAGGCCGATCCAATACACAAGTACACTAGGATTCCACCTAGGATATCCCAGAGGAAAGGTTGCTATAAATGTTTCCATTGCAATATATGTAACTCACTCATTTGTGGAGAGTTTTTTTTTTTTCACACCCACATAGGGGTAACCAATATCGAATATGGGACTATTTTCAATTGCAATACAGATTTCTGTGTTTACATTCTTAAATGCCCTTGTACACTAACCTGTGTTGGCAAGACAATAGGTCTGTTTAAGAAAAGGTTTCAAAAGCACAGAAGTGATATTAGGACCGCTTTGGCTAAAACAGAGAAGGGAGAACAGACTGATTTTAGTAAGCCTATAGCTGTGCATTTTGTAACATCTAAACACCAAACGCCTGAGCTATGGAGGATGGTGATAGAACATGTCAAACAACCCGTCAGGGGAGGTCACCGTGACCAATTACTCTTTCGCCGTGAGGCGTACTGGATGCACACGCTAGATAAAGTACAACCTGGTGGCCTTAACACCAATTTCATTTGCATGTTTTCTTGACAGTAAATAATATGTATTACTTTGTCTCAGATACCAATTTTGCTTTGACCTGGACACATTTGGTCGGTTATATTTTTAGGTTGTTAGCCATTACTATATTTTCACTCTTTGTGCCTTTTTTTCACCTTTTGCTCATACATGTATATAGGACTGACCACGTAGCCCTAACCCTGCTTCTAGATCAATTGTGTACCCTGGTGGGGCTGACGATTATTTCACTTGATATAGCCGCGCATACATTGTTCCACTCAGCTAGACTCTGATGATAGTGCTATATGAGATTTTATTGTTCTTAGGGGCAATGCTTTTCTTTTGCCCCCTTTTTTCTTCTGTTTCCAGTTTTTATCCTCTTCACCCCTATTACCATATTACTCCACTTCCATGGTCCTGATTCCCCCTCTTCTCCCCCCACACCACGTTTTTCTTTTTCTTTCCTTTTTTCTTCCTTTTTAATTTCTTTTTTTCTTTATTTTTCTTCCTTCTTTTTCTCCCCACCCCTTACTTTTCATTTTCTCTTTCCCCTTTTTTTTCTTCCTTTTTTCCTTCTTTCATTTTTGAGTTCCTCTCTTTTCTCTCACCTTTTTCTCTTTTTTTTTTACCTCTTTTTTCCCCCTTTCGTTTCTTTTTTTCTTTTCTCTTCTTTTTTTTTCATTCTTTTTTTCTCTTTTTTCTCTCTCTCTATTTCTCCTTTTCTTATTTTTTTACACCTTTTTCTTTCTCCCCCCCCTCCTTTCAGTTTTTCCCTTTTTCCCTTTCTGTTTCCGTTTTTCCCATTTTTTTCTTTCACTTATGGTTTCCTTTTTTTGTATCTTAATTGTTATATTCTTTATTTTTCACCTGCACCTCCACTTTTTTCACTGTCCCTGGTATCTTTACAGCTCCCTTCTCGGAGCTGAGCCTGCCCCCAGCCTGACATTGCGATCCCACATCATGCGCTGCCATGACAACCATGGCCCACCGCTCAGTAGCCATGCACGCATGCGCCATACTAGGCACACTGGTGGCCACCCTCCATTGCTTAGCAACAGCAATGCTGAGTGTCTCTGGTGATCCCCGACATCTGGCTAATGTGCCCAATCAACAGTAGAGATTAGTGTACACCTGCTGCGCCTGGTAGATAATAATTTTGAGTGCATGGAGGTATATACACATAATACTATGTCTCTAGTTCATCATATTTTACATATTTTGGCAGGATTGTGATATCATAGGATGCCAGATGAGGGGGGTGGGGATATGTTCTTGGTTTTGATTGATGGTTTATGTATAGTCTGTATAGTCACTACTGTACCCTTAATGCATGCCTGACGAAGGGGTCCTGTGCGGTTCTGAAACATTGCACTTTTCTTTGTGATGTGATCCTATTGGAGTAAAAAACCTTCTTGGACCACATCGAGATCCACGGTGTGCTGTCGAATATGTACATTAACTTAATAATGACACCCACTGCAGATCACAACTTGAATGCAGTGTGGGAAATGCGCATGGATTGTGGGTTTCCCACACCATGTTCTAGTGTGAACCTAACCTAAGTATGTGTGTATATATATACAGTATATATATATATATATATATATATATATATGAAATTACCCTTAGGCTATAGGGATACAGACATTGTAAAACTAGCTCACATTGTTAACATCTTCCTATATTACATAGAATAACTACTAATCAATGTGATTCTCTCTAAGATTTGCAATATGTGCTCTCAGATATATAATTTATCTGCAGTACCAAACCTATAAAGACCTGAGACAATAATTTTGCACTATTTTTATCAAATACATACCTATTACATTCTTGTTTAGAACTGTAAGAAATATAAAAAATGTCAGACCAGAAATTACTGACATAAATCCCATCTTCAATGTAAGGTCTTCTATTTCCCGAGGTAGCCTTTGTTTCCTGCATGAAAGGGAATATATTTATTTCTGTTCAGGTTTCTGTCAGAGTATGTATTATTTTTTACATATAACAAAGGAATTGTCTGATCACAGTGGTTCATGACCTTTTGTGAATACCAATGTGGTGTACTCTTTAATATATTTAGCTTTGAAAAGATTGTTAAATGAGGAAGAAAACTGTGAAATGCATAAAATCAATATTAAAGTTGAACTCTACCCAAATGTTTTGATTTGGGGTGGAATGAGGCATGGCTTGATTTTTTTTTTTTTGTTAACTAAAGTACTGAGCTCTATTACTATAACCAAAATCTCTAATGCTGCTGTAACTGTAATGTGAAAAACACTAATTTAACATTTAACAAAATATGTATAGTGCTTACCCCTATGTGACATCAAAACAAATAAATTATTACATACTGGGCTCCATTCACTAAAGCATATTGCATGTGGTATTTAGGTGTAAATATCTGAAATTGTAATTTCAATATGCCATTTTGTGGTATTTACCGGAAGAATGCTCAAAACGCTCTGTAAATACTGCATGAAAAGGCGTTAAAGGCAATTCACCAAAGGAAATAAATAATTAAATGTCTGAGTTAAATAAGTAATAGTCCAGGCATGCAATGTAAAAATATTATTAGCCAACTTAGAGTAGTCTCTACCTTTTTCGATCAGTTCACTCAATGATAATGCATAGAAACCTAAATATAGAAGAACACAGAATCATTGGGGTTAATTTACTTAAATTATAACTAAAGGCAATGTTTTTTAGTTTTGAACAGAGTGGAGATGGAATAGAACCCCTGTCAGGTTGTTTTTTGCTGTCTGTATCCCTGTTAGGGAGATTCACCCTCTCTATTTGTCCTGTTTACAATTATCATTGAAAGTGAAAGTAAAAGAAAATCCCTAATTTTGGGTTGTCCCCAGAAAATTAATAGAGGGGAAATCTTCCAATGGTGACACTAGTTCTAGTGACTTGGAGGTCCCCAAAGCATTTCTTTAATTTGTAGGGATTTCCTCTCATTTTCTGTTTGGCTATGGGACAGCAAGTGAAGGCAAATTTCTGTCACAAATGGCAAAAAAACTCCCAAAAACTGACAAGGGTTATAACCCCCCTTTACACTATCCAAAATGAAAAAAAAACGTTTTGCCTTTAGTTATATTTTAAGGCAAATAGACTGTGCACTTTGCAAGTTGCTCCAGAGCTTAGTAAATGAAGTAAAGTTTCACTTTACGAAGGATACCCAACCACATGCAAGGAAAATGTAAAAAGCTGAATTTTTGCTTGCACCTGATTGGATGATGGAACGAGCAGAGATTCCCCTCATTCACTAAGCCCTGGAGCAACTACACTTGCAAAGTGCTTGGTCTATGTGCCTTTGGTAAATCCACCTCATTACACGTAGTAAAATATGTCTATTTTCTCCTGTCATTTCGCCAGATTTTCAGAGACTTTTTTGAGAATATACAAGCATATACCGTATTTTTCGCTCCATAAGACGCACTTTTTTCCCCAAAAAATATGGGGGAAAATGTCTCTGCGTCTTATGGAGCGAATACTGACCAGTCCTCCACCTGTCACCACCGCCGTGTTAGTGCAAGCGGCTGTCCCATCCCAGTGAAGCCTGTCCCATCCCACTGCAGGCTGTCACCGAAGTTCACCCTGCCCTCTCTGAGCGGGCTGTCCCCGCAGCTCTTCATAGCAGGCAGTTCCCTCGCCGAACCCAGCCAGCTTGCTCTGCAGTCTGGTCCGCCCTGCAGGCGTGGCCTGTCCTCGGAGCTCCTCCCCGCTCCTGGCATGTCTATGTACTGAGCTCCCAGCTCTGCAGTCCGGTCTGCGGGTGTGGCCTGTTCTTACAGCGCCTCCCCTTTCCTGGCATGTGTCCATAGTGTGCTCCCTGCTCTACAGTCTGGTCCTATCTGCTGGTGTGGCCTGTCCTCGGAGCTAAGTGCGCCCCCTGCCTTCTATAGCCTGCCTTCTGTAAGTTAAAATGACAGATGCTGGGAGTTGTAGTCCTTTTTCTTGATGTATGGTGTCAGATCATTTGATATTCTGGGTGGAAGGGCCTGTTGGGACTTTATATGATGTAGTATGTCCACAGTCTCTGGTCATCCCCTGTACTGTGTCCGCAGTCTCTGGTAATCCCCTGTACTGTGTCCGCAGTCTCTGGTCATCCCCTGTACTGTGTCTGCAGTCTCTGGTCATCTCCTGTACTGTGTTCGCAGTCTCTGGTCATCTCCTGTACTGTGTCCGCAGTCTCTGGTCATCTCCTGTACTGTGTCCGCAGTCTCTGGTCATCTCCTGTACTGTGTCCCCAGTCTCTGGTCATCCCCTGTACTGTGTGTCCGCAGTCTCTGGTCATCCCCTGTACTGTGTCCGCAGTCTCTGGTCATCCCCTGTACTGTGTCCACAGTCTCTGGTCATCCCCTGTACTGAGTCCGCAGTCTCTGGTCATCTCCTGTTCTGTGTCAGCAGTCTCTGGTCATCTCCTGTACTGTGTCCGCAGTCTCTGGTCATCCCCTGTACTGTGTCCGCAGTCTCTGGTCATCTCCTGTACTGTACTGTCCGCAGTCTCTGGTCATCCGCTGTACTGTCCGCAGTCTCTGGTCATCCCCTGTACTGTCCGCAGTCTCTGGTCATCCCCTGTACTGTCCGCAGTCTCTGGTCATCCCCTGTACTGTGTCCGCAGTCTCTGGTCATCTCCTGTACTGTGTCCGCAGTCTCTGGTCATCTCCTGTACTGTGTCCGCAGTCTCTGGTCATCTCCTGTACTGTGTCCGCAGTCTCTGGTCATCTCCTGTACTCCTGTACTGTGTCCGCAGTCTATGGTCATCTCCTGTACTGTGTCCGCAGTCTCTGGTCATCTCCTGTACTGTGTGTCTGCAGTCTCTGGTCATCTCCTGTACTGTGTCCGCAGTCTCTGGTCATCTCCTGTACTGTGTCTGCAGTCTCTGGTCATCTCCTGTACTGTGTCCGCAGTCTCTAGTCATCTCCTGTACTGTGTCTGCAGTCTCTGGTCATCTCCTGTACTGTGTCTTTAGTCTCTGGTCATTTTTCTGTACTATGTCTGCAGTCCATTGGTTCAGAATATTTTTTTTTTTCCAGTTTTCTGCCTCTAAAACCTAGGTGCGTCTTATGGTCAGGTGCGTCTTATGGAGAGAGAAAAATACGGTACATCCTTTGCTGCAAAAACAGCTCCTAATCACTCCAAACATAATACAATGTACATTCATTTCACAGTGGTCTAATCCCTTTGTTTAAACATATGTCATATGTAATGGTAATACTTCACTTTTTCACAATTATTTTTAGAGATATTTTTGGTGCAAGTATTGGTAAGACAGAATTGGATTGGAATAGACAAGTATTCTTACAAGGGTGTGGAACCTTGAGCTGATAGGACAGCCCAAAATGTGTGTTTTTTTCTTTTACTTTCACTTACAATGACAATGGTAAACAGGACAAATAAAGAGGGTGAATCTCCCTAATGGGGACAGACAGCAAAAAAAACAAAAAACATAATAGGTGTTCCAATGTCTATCCACTCTATCCAAAAAAAAGTATTTCCTTTAGTTGTACTTTAACTGCTTCCCAACTGTGCTATAGCCGAAAGATGGCTACAGCGTGGTTATCCAGTTCTGGTAGGGCGTCCATAGACGTCCTCCCAGTACGCGCCCCCTGCGTGCCCCCCAGTGGCGCGCACCCGGCACTGTCGTTGATCGCTGTGTCCTATGGACACAGCCAGGGGCAGACTGACAACTCATGGGGCCCCTGGGCAATAGGGGATCATGGGGCCCCTGTGTGTCCTTGCCCAAACTCAAAAAAAGCCTATGAAAAAGGTACCAGGGGCATCTCATGGGGCCCCCTACTGACAGTGTTTGAGTTTTCAAATGCTCAGTCCGCCCCTGGACACAGCTGATCATGTGATGAGGTAAAAGGCCAATCACAGTGGCCATTTACCATGTGATCAGCTGTGCCCAATGAAACAGCACATCACAATGTAAATACAGTTGTCGTTTATCGGCTGCACTTTCCTCACGCTGTTACAGTGTGAGGAAAGTACTGCTGATAACCGGCAAATGTGACAGGGAGATCTGCACTAATAATCAGGGCACTGATGATCAGTGCCCTGATCATTAGTGCCACCCAGCAGTGTCACCCATCAGTGCCCAGCAGTGCTGCCCATCAGTGCCGCCGGTCAGTGCTATCAGTCAGTGCCACCTATCAGTACCCATCAGTGCCCATCATTGCTGCATATCAGTGCATCATCCGTGCCTTCTCATCAATGCCTATCAGTGCCGCTTCATCAGTGCTACCTATCAGTGCCCATCAGTGCTGCCTATTAGTGCAGCCTCATCAATGCATATCAGTGAAGGAGAAAAATTACCTGTTTGCAACATTTTATAATAGAAACAAAGAGAATCTTCTTTTTTTCAAATTTTTGGCTCTTTTTTCATTCACAGTGCAAAAAATTAAAAAAACCCAGTGGTGATTAAATACCACCAAAATAAAGCTTTATTTGTGTAAAAAAAAAGATACAAATTTCATATGGGTACAGTGTTGCATGACCGTGCAATTGTCATTCAAAGTGCGACAGCCCTGAAAACTGAAAATTGGCCTGTGCAGGAAGGGGGTAAACGTGCCCAGTAGGCGAGTGGGTTAAGTAAATACAAAATATCTTTATAAATGTCAAATATTGAATGGAAATAGTATCAAAAATCACACACATATATAAATACTCTTCTTCCACCACTAAAAAAGACCATGTTGTCTTTTTTATTGGTGGAAGAAGAGTATTTATATATGTGTGTGATTTTTTATACTATTTTCATTCAATATTTGACATTTATAAAGATATTTTGTATTTATCTAATTTAACTTAGTTTTTTCTGATACACCACGCATGTCCTGTGAAAGCAGCTTCCTTGTGACTGGTATTCCAGTCACCTTTTTTCTTTTGTATTAATACTTATGCTAAAGAGACCACACTGACTTTGTGATTGTCATATTTCTATGGTTTAAACCATTTTACCTCTTTATTAGCAATAAAAACTGGCAGGGGTTCTAATCCTTTTCCACTATATCCATCCCACTGGATATTGCATGAGATAAAATACTGCATGGTTTCATGAGATAAATACCGCATATTTTGATAAAATACTGCATACAATATTTTAGGAGCATTTTTTAGTGAATGCCAAAAAATTTTTGGAAAAAGGCTTTGTGGTATTTTACCACATTTCTTAAAGGAATAGATACTGCTTTATGAATGGAGCCCACTATAATAAATATAAATAAAATTAATCAATAAAATGTTATAGAAAGTGCAGAAAATGCTATATATATGAATTCAGTCCATATTGTAAAGTGCAATTAATCAATAAATATAGTCCATAATATAAAGTGTGTTAATCTCCAGTTCATCCACTCTGTAATTGTTTCCCAAAAACAGTTTTGCATGTGATCCAAATGTCATACAGCTCTCAGCCAGTGACCAATCATTAACCTCCTTTCTCCCCACTGTGGTCAAACAGACTCAACAGATGGTAATGACTTATTTTTATAAAGCAGGTCTATTGTGCTTATCCATATGTCTTGATCCTTGCTGCCCAATGCTCATCTCAGATAGGTGAGGAAAAACCCAAAAAAGAAGCCAACATAGCATAAAACCATAAAAATGTATTGTCATAAGCAAAATGACAGTTCCTAACAATAAAAAGTGATTTCCCAGTTTTTTAAAAACATTTCTGACCGCTGGAAACTGACTGCTAGAAAACGTAGGTTAAAAACGTCAGTTTAGCCGCGTTTACCTACCAAGTTTATGCATGTTTAGCCGCGTTTATGTGCGTTTGCATTTTTAAAAGATATCCTCAGGAGAATATAAATAATAATTAACTATTTCAGACATCAGACAGTTTGTGAGAAATAGAGAGAGCAGAAGCAGAGAGAGCACTACTTTCTGATAGGTGTTGCAACTGTAGCAAAAGTGGCTAATGAAACATGCTACATAGTGCTGTAATGTCTGTAATGCCTCCGGATGCATTGTGGAGTGCACACAACACTCCTTGTGCTTCTTTGTTGTGTTTTGATGTGTTCCAGTACAGTTCTGTGCAGAAACAATGCAGCACGTTCTACTATTTGTTCTTACATGCAAGGCCTGGAACTGACTGCACTGGTGTACTAGGTCCATTTGAATACATGGAAAACGCTTTGCATGCATTTTTGATGAAGAAAAAAAGGCTCTGGACAGCATCTGGATATGGACCAGCCCAAAAACGCATCTAAATGCAAACATGCATAAACACGTTTACACGCGATTACAAGCTTTTACATGAGGTTACAAGCGTTTGGCGGTTGAAATGCCGGTAAACTCTACTCCCGAATGTGTTTTTGTGTGCTTTCAAAAAATTGCCACTAACCTCAACTTCCTGTAAACTACTGTAAAAGACTATGTGTACATGGACACATAGGAAAACATAAAGGAGAGTTCAGGGGCTGCTGAAAAAACACAACTGCTCCAAAACTTCAGTGTACATGAGCCCTAAAAGTGAACTTTTGCCTCCTTTGTTCACTGTAGTAAATAAGGTGAAGATGTGGTGACTTAATCATCAATCATAAGAACAGATTTTTTTTATTTACCTTTGCACATGGTTGGGTATTCTAAACATATCATCACCTTATTTACTAATTTTAGTGAGCAAGCACTTTCTTTAGAGAATATTCACTTTGCAAATTGAGGAGTATCCACTCTAGTAAATTAGCATTTATATGTTGTCTGGAGTTGTGGTTTATTGGTGGAGTATCTGTGTCACCATCTTCCATTTTTGTTTCATGGTTTGAAGAAAATGAGTTGTAAAATGTGTTATTATTACATAATAAAAAGGTGTCATGGCAATAAATTTATCAAAATAGACAAATCAAGGTTATTTGTCAGATAAGCAAATGTAATGATGATTCCACTGCACCTGGGTGCAAATCACATCAGGGGATGGTATCACACTGCTAATGACTGCAGTGCTAGTGTTAGCATGCAAAAATATCTACTCTCACCAAAGTACCTAATAAAGCAGTTAAGGAACATTTATAGATGTCTAGCTGTACTGAAAAAATGTTAATATTTAATCCAGGCATTAAATTATTGAAATTACTACACCAAAACATTCAAGGGAATCTTGTAGAAACATCTAGCTGAATTTAGAAATAAAAAGATAAGATGTTAAAGTTGTGATACGAATACCAAATGGAACAGAGATTATGCTTTTCAGCATACACAGTCAGAATATGTATTCAGGATACACAAACTGGGTTTAGTGACTCTACTTGAAAAAAGAGTGAATTGAGGACTGGGAATGGGAGAATGGAATTTCAATAAAAGATATTACTAGAAGAGATGACCACATGTTCCAGTTGCATTTTGTAATTCAATATCCTCTTTTGCAGATATGCGAGAATGCCATAAATTCTTAATGGCACCCCTTCGCATCTGAAAACGCAGAGCGTTTTTGGGTGCATGAAACAGCAAAAGCACCATGCGTTTTCCCTGTGGCTGCAGTTTTGAAAAGGTGCAAGGACACTTTCCTTGCATTTTCTGCAGGTACAGCAGCCCAGTCAAATTAATTGGCTGCTGTGCCTTCGCAAACATGACATGCAGGAATGCATAGATGTGAACCTAGCCTTATGTTATGTTCACACAGCCCCGGGCACCTGCCACACAATAAACTGCAGCGGTCTAGTGTGTGGCAATTGTACATTCCGGCTGTAGTGAGCCGGTGGTAGGGGGCAGTGTGATGCACATTTCAACACATTACATAGTTCCCTGTTTTCCCACTCTATTTGTCTTGCATAAAAGTGACACTTCATTCATGCTATGACGGAACGCGGCACCCGACCCCTGCCCTTCTTACCAACTCATGACCGAAGGACCAGCCGATCTCGCACCGCGCTTACTTGCGTAACAATGCCACTCACATCTGTGCCCTGCACGAAGATTTTCCAGCTCGCAAGGCTACAATCTATGTGCCAGCAGCCTGAGAGCGATTGTTACTGGGTCAGGTTAATTATGCAATTAACCCTTCACACTGCCACCACCACCTTTTTACAGAGAAGGAGGAAACTCACAAATCCTAGCAACAACACTATGATATTTGCTTAAGCGTCTGTAATACACACTGTGACCACAGACAGATATATTTAGAGAATTATTACATACAGTAGCACTCTTCAAGAGACAGGGATTCTTTAGTTTGCATTAAAAGCTTTAGAGACAGTTTCAACACTTTTCAAAATACGGTTTATTACTAAAAAGGTCAGAATGGTGCAATGAAAATATTTACAGAAAAAGATGTTACAAAGACATAAAGAGAACAATAAAGCAACAGAGAAATAAAAGAAAGGAGTTCAGAAGGCAGAATATTTGCAATGTCCTTGGTTTAAGCAGAGTCAAATTGTCCGAACAAAAAGATTTCCTTGGCTCTCAAGTCCGTTAGATGTTTCCTGATTGATGTTAAACGAGAGCTGTCTTTTCTCCAGCCTGCCAGTCTTTTTCTATCATATTAAAGAGGTGTCGCCAGAGAACAAATGACCAATTATTAAGTTTGGGGATGGGTGCTAGGTGGTAACCAAGGTTATGATCAAGACGCCTTACAATTTCATACTAAGGTTATTAACCTCCAATAGGTACAGGTGGCATCCTAGCAACTGGCAGATTAATATTCAGAATTATATTTCAAACCCAGGGATACCAAACACAGTGTACCCTTGTCACCCAGGAGGGAAGAGACTGCTTTCTTCTCTCTCCTAGGTGCTAATATAGTCATGTAAGGCCTTGTTTGACTCACATTAAAATGATCTATCCAAATATATACCTAATATTAATGTGCCCAGTTCCTGCTGAACATTATGAATTGTATGAAAAATGTCTACATGTGGAATGTATGTTTTATGGCACAATCCAGCCCTAATGGCCTAACAGGTCAGTACTGATTGAATTATTGTTTTACGATTGGGCAGAGGAAAGTGGCTTTCTAAGCAGACCTCCTGCACCAGACTAATTAGCAGTTTACAGCCCTGGAGCTTTATCTATCTGTGTTTTATTTAAGATAAGAGGCCCTTTTGATGTCTATTCAACTTACAGCTATAAATTCCATACCATGAGGAAGGAGGGAGGAGAGGAGAGACAAAATTGCTGAGGCCTAACAAGATTGCTGTCACATACAGAGTCCATGTCTCTATTGTGCACAATTGTCACACATGCCACTGTAGAGCAGTGCGGCACGTTGGACTGCTGTAAAGTGACATGTGATCCAGCCCGCAACGCAGTGATACAATGCAGCATATCTGCATTTTATCA